GTAGAGGAGAGTAGAGTAGAGTAGAGTAGAGTAGAGTAGAGGTAGAGGTAGAGGTAGAGGTAGAGGTAGAGGTAGAGGTAGAGGTAGAGTAGAGTAGAGTAGAGTAGAATTCTTTATTGGCCAAGTGTGATTGGACACACAAGGAATTTGTCTTTGGTGCATTTGCTCTCAGTGTACATAAAAGAAAAGATACATTCCTCAAGAATCATAAGGTACAACACTTACTGATAGTCATAGGGTACAAATAAGCAATTGAATCATATTAGGAAACGATCAATATGAATTGTAAGGATACAAGCAACAAAGTTACAGTCATACAGACATAAGCAGGAGGAGATGGGTAATAGGACCAATGAGAAGATTAACAGTAGTGCACATTTAGTATATAGTTTGACAGTGTTGAGGGAATTATTTGTTTAGCAGAGTGATGGTGTTTGGGGGGGGGGGGATCCAAATACTGAGCCCTGTCAGTTTTGTTGCCTAGCTGACCTGAAGTAGAACAGGTAGATTTTCTAAGAACAGCACTTTAGGAGTCCTAGACTTTAATCTAACAATCTAAATCTAGCATCCAGGTCTACAGGCTTTAGTTTCTGATTTCCTGCATAGCGCAGCTAGAATTATAGGATTTTAAGGCTAGATTGTAGACTGCCTTCTATATTACCAGAAAGCATCCTCATCGCTAGATTTTTCTCCTTCATACTAGTTTTTTTTAATAACTTAAGTTTTCTTATTTGATTTTCACACAAGATTTTTTTTTCTTGCAGAGAGCTAGTCCCTGCATTATAAAGTTAGCCTGACTGGCCATTGTTGGACAAATTGTGATTCTCTTGACTGAGAAATGCTACCACTCAGAAAGACACAGTGCCATCTTGCGTTCAAGTAAGAGACACTGCACAACTGTGATTTACAAATGGATACCTAGCAGGCTAATTTATCTACCCTCAATCAATCGAATGTCCTAATTTGGCTGCTTTTCCCCTAATATTTCAGCCTATTTTACTGTTAATGTTATATTTTGGTATACATAAGAACTTTATGAAAGTTCTGCTACAATGAATTTGTTAGCCTCTAATGACTACTGAACTGTAAACAGAAGCAGCAGCATCTCCAGATTGGAGCTGTTGAGATGATGGAAAACTGCTTCTGGCTAGAAGAGACAATACTGCTGTCTATAAATGTCCTCTTGGCAATGTGAAAAACAATTAACCTATTTCCCAGTATCAGGAAGTTGCATGTTTCCTCTACCATGAAAGAGACAGCTAAGGATACGGACCATAGATAAAAAGAGATGCAAAGAGACCTGATAACATATAGAATATTCAACATATATATTATCTAGAAAAAGGAAAGAAGCTGCCATACATTCCTGTGTCCCATTCACGTCCCTTTGGGTTTTATTACAACTAAAACATTGCTGACTGAAATGAATATTATTAAAATTTGTTGCATACTGTATTGTCATCATTGCTTTCTCAAGTATTTAGCCCCCACATTAAAAAAAGTGAAGCAGGCACTCTTGCTTTGAGAAATCAGCATGTGGAATAGTAATAAATTTAAGTCTAGATCATAGTTCACCATTATGTTAGCTCATGTAAGCCCAAGTTTAAAAAAAAACAATACACATTCATTTCCTTACCAAGGCTGTGCTCTTCCTTTTTTTTTTGTTCCCATGTTGTACTGTCCACGTATGCTGCTGAAAGAATACATCTTTTGCCTAATAAAAGAGATCAAAGAAAGTCCTTTAGAAGATTTTCACATTGAAAAATCATTAGTCATCTATTTTTATGCATTATATTAATTGCATTAAATGTACCAGATAATAATTTGTATGGTAGCAATTATTATTTTATAAATCATTTAATTTCTATAATCCTTTGGGATTCAGATTCTATAAAAATTGGAACCCTGATAGAATCTCTGTCAGCTCTATAGCTTTAAAATATCTCACAATTTCACCATAAATTAAATTTCTATTGATTTGATTTGATTTGATTTGATTATATTTATATGCTGCCCTTTTCCCCCAAAGGGGACTCAGGGTGGCTCACAATTCAAATCAGGGAAGGGGGGTACAGACAAAAAATAAAAGACGAAACATAACAATACATAATTTAAAAACACACAACAGTCATACCATTCGAGACAGGGGCAACAGCTCTTTAGCCCCAGGCCTGTCGGAACAGCCAGGTTTTAACGGCTTTGCGGAAGGCCTGGAGGGTGGTGAGGGTTCAAATCTCCACGGGGAGTTCGTTCCAGAGGGTCGGAGCAGCCACAGAGAAGGCTCTCCTCCGGGTAGTCGCCAGTCGGCACTATAACATTCAATAGATCCTACCCAATAGATCCTACCCAATAAATATTATGATTTATTCAAGTGGTCCAATGATAACTATATAGCATTTTCCATAAAAAGGTTAATTAAAGTTGAAAGACTAATCTGTTCAAAAGATATTAATCAAAATAGCAATTCCCTGCATCTGATATTGGTACAAAAGCTTTTTTATTTATAAGGCTTACAAATTACTGCATTTTAAGTCAACTCTGAATGACATACATTTCCCATTTTTAATTTAAATTTTAATTTAAATTGTACAGAATAAAAACACAGAAAACATGAATTATAAGAACAAACATATCAATAGGAATAAAGTATAAAAAGATATAAACAAATGTATGCAGTTTATTTCTAGAGTTCTAATAAATGCAAAAAAATTGACCCAGTAACACCTTATATAGAAACTAATTTTCCAATAATCTTCCCAATATTTCTTTAGAATAAATGTTAAAATGTTAAAAAAAAATTCTGTGATCCTAACCCCTAAAGTGAAAATCTAGTTGTAAGAAGTACTCGGTGAGGATTCAGAAAGCAGTGATGGGAAGTTCTGAAATAACATATTCAATGTTTTTGAGCAGGCAAGACTTAATATGCTGAAGACCTGCTCTCTTTATTATGTACACATATCTAAATCTTATTTTAACCTTCACCAAGTGAAGTCCATGAAAAGTTTCCAAAAGCAATGTTGCTATAGCTTAATCTATGTTCCAACTATTTGGAAAACAGTATGAACACAGCACAGGAGGAGTTAAGAGTGGAGAAAGAAATTCCATAAAACGGGGATCAAATCTTGCAGCCAAAATTTAATTCAACTAACCAACCAAACCATTTTGAAGACACAACAGAATTTTATTATGCATGCAAACAGTACAGTTTACACTGGGCTCCCAACAAAGCACTGCTAGCTTGTTGGGCAGCCTTAAACAAAAGTAGGGCCATAACTTATATCTCGGCCTATTACATTGCAAAGGGGCAGACGCAGTAAAAAATTACAGCATATTAGAATTCCTTTCTACTAGGTTGGCAGCTAATTATACTATCTCTAACAGTACGGTCAGTGAATATAAACAGATTTATTGGGCCACAAAAATACCTGATTGCTTTCTCTCTTTGCTGCCACTCAGGGTCAATACAGCTTGCTGTGAATTGTTACAGGTGGTCCTCAACTTATGACCACAATTATGCCAGAAATTTCCATTGCTAAGCAAGGTAATTGTTAAGTGAATTGTGACCTATTTTACAATCTTTTTTGCCACAGTTAAGGGAATAGCTGCAGTTGATAAGTGAATCATGTAGTCATTGAGTGAATCTGGCTGGGAAGATTACAAATGGTAATCACATGTCCCAGGACAGTGCAATACATGTCAGTTGTCAAGGGTCTGAATTTTGATCGTGTTACCATGGGAATGCTGCAACAGTTGTGTGAAAAATCGTCATGTAACTTTTTCAGTGTTGTTGTAACTATGAATGGTCACAAAACAAATGGTTATAAGTTGAGGACTACCTGTACTTACAAGGAAACTTTAAGCAGTTGACACGTATAGGGCTCCACCTCTTATATTTGGCAGGGAATGTAGTTCACATGTATGTGAGGGGGTTACCTTTTACCAGCACAAACTTGAAGAGAAAAAAAGTTAACATACCATCTAGCTGGCTGTAATAGTAAGGTTCATATAGAATAAATTACTCATCTGGGTCAGATCTCATAAATTCAAATTTTAATGAACTCAAATCTCAAAAAATGTGGGAGGAAGAATAGAACAGGTGATCCAGATAAAAAGGTTCCAAATCAAGTAAAATTAGGGCATAAGATAATATCACTGCTTGGAAAATATCCATATACAATATTGAGAAATATTAAATTAAGAAATCTTCTAAGAAAAACGAAAAACAAAAATCTTTGTCAATGTCCAGGCTATCTTTTCTATACGATGTAAAGAAACGGTGTCCTTGTTCTGTGGAATAATATAGGATTTATTTTTAAACAGGACAGAATTGCATCACTGACATTGTTACATTAAGGAGCCTTGTCTAAAACGTGCAACCAGAAATGGGCACTACCCCTTTTGATGTATACAGTACAACATTTGTTTAGTGACAGTCCGAAGTTACAATGGCACTGTAAAAAGTTACTTATGACCATTATTCACACTTACTACTGCTGCACAAGATCAAAATGCTTGGCGACTCCTATTTTTGTCATCTGCAATGTCCTGGCATCATGTGATCACTTTGTATGACCTTCTGACAAGCAAAGTCAATGGGGAAGTCAGATTCATTTAACAACTATGTAACTAATTTAACAACTGCAGTGATTCACTTAGCAACTGTTATAAGAAAGGTCGTAGAACAGGGCAAAATTCACTTAACAATCGTCTCACTTACCAACAGAAATGTTGGCCTTAACTATGGTCCCAAGCCAAGGCTTGGCTAGCTCCTACCCATCTGATTTTTGTTCAGGTATTAACAATATTGATGAAAGCTAACAGAGTGTAAAGCAAGGCACCCCCTTGTAACAACATCATTATTTCCCACAAAACCTTTGGGCATATATACAATTGTTGGAAAACAAAAAAGATGAATTACTAAAATGATGGATTACAACGATAAAGAGGGATTAGATTATTGGGTTGTTATGGTGGGCTTTTTTCCCTTGCATTGGCCAAATTATTCACAACAGCTGTTCTGTGTGACAATTTATACCACACTCTCAATCTTTCAAATGTGGCCACTTGTACCAAAAGTTTCTACCTGTTGTGTAGACAATGAGGGAAATAGATTAATGCTCTGGATGCTCCTAACTCTTTTATTGTAAAAGCGCTCAAAACTATTCAGCCCACAGAGCTGCTTGCAATCAATGTTCTATACCCAAATTGGTGAAAATTTCCCCAGATCATATTCTCTCTATCAAAAAAGTAAAACTAGTTTCTGAACATTTCTGAAAAACTATGCCATGTTTTTTCAGCGTAAATGAAATAGGTCAATATAGTGTACTGTATATTATATTGATAGGCTTAAAGGAAGTCACTTAAATTTAAAAATAAAGTATTTTATGTAATTGGCTCAAGAAACATTTTTCAGAAGTTTCACTACACCCATGACAATCAAATCAGTGAAGGAATGGTATCAACTGCTTTTTGTCCCAAAAGGTTTAAGACACCAACATCAACCTTACCCCTCATTTAACTTTCTAGCAGTCTTGTTTTACATTTTAGCATTCAACAATAAAGATCATTGACTGAAACACTTTGTTTGATATATATCCTAAAAGAAAATATATTTCTTTCGCACTTTTAAGCCACTTCAAAAACCACACTAGTTTAACTTAATATATGAATCTAGCATTGTCTTAAAGCAATGTTGGGACCAGATCACAATAGCATATTCAACAAACTGTCACTAAAACAAATGATGAATTATCATGACAGCGGCCTTTCTTCTTACTGATACTGATCTAGCATTGTTGTGTAATATGACAGACATTTGACTTTGATGGAGAGTAGCATATTTTCTATTGAAATAAGAAGGCTAGGTAACAACACATAAGAAAATCAAAAGGCTAAGCTGGCCGTGATTTTATCCTCAGCAATTCCACGTGGATATTAAAGAGAAGAGCACATTCTGACGTGCAGCTTCATTCTACGCAAAGATTCTTAGTAGGAATAAAGACTCCTGAACCAGGAGTAGCCTAAATAAATGGTCTATAAAAATCGTCACTGGCTATCAAATCGCTGATTCAAAAACACCCGTAAACCCCTCAATTAAAAAAACCCTCCAGAACTAAGAAACTGACAGATTCCCATCTTCTATCCCATCTGAAGAGACCCACCTGTCGCCGCCCAATGTTTCACCGTAGTCCGGCTCTGCAGTAACCCACGCCGAAACACGAACGCTGCCATTTTGGCGCGTATCACATCTATGATCCAGATGGGAGGAGCAGCAAAAGGGAAGAAACGCCTTTGCTGCTGCGGTCCAGACCAAGGGCTTAAAAGGCTCTAAGCCAGAGGTGGGGAAACTATGGCCCTTTTATGGCATGTGGACTACAACTCCCAGAATTCCTGAGCCAGTATAGTTGATTTCAGGAATTCTGGGAGTTGAAGTCCGTATGTCATAAAAAGGCCACAGTTTTCCCACGCCTGCTTTAAGCGAAAGCCTATGTGACCATAGAGTACTAAGGGAAAGAAGAGCACACTTCTTGGACGGTCCGTTAGCGCCTCCTTGCCTATAGCGGTTCTTCGTATGTCCCGGCGGTAAAATGGCTGCGCTGGTAGTTAGAACCTCGGGTCGACTCCTGCGAAAGACAGCCGAATATCCCGCGGCCGGCGGGCTGGTTGCGGACCGAGTTGGCTGTTGGAACTGCTTTCAAGGAGGTACATTGGAACCGGTGTTAAGAAAAGAAAGGGGGTGGGAAATCCTAGGTCCCTTTTTAAAAAGCGATCGAATACATGGAAAGGTTCCTTTGCAGCTCTGAGATTTTAATGTATAATCCATAAATAACAACAACCACTATTGTGAGCCGCCCAAAGATGTATTTTAAGGCGGATGGCCATAAAAATCTTATAAGTAATATTGCCTCCTTGGAAGGTGCTTGGACGAAGTTGCCCTGTGCAGGCGTGTTTTATGATTAAAGCAAGTCAATCCGAGCCCCGTGGCTTCTAAAGTCAGGCACCCGAATTTGACGTGGAGCTGCTTAAGACTTTGGGAGAGACAGTTTTTGCCTTTGCAAAGGGGTTGCCCACCTGAAAATAGGAATCACCAAGAAATTCGAGCAAGCAAAAAGCATTTATTAAAGGGGTAGGGCAGTGAAGTCTTTTTAGGAAATAAATTATATATACATTGGATATATATGATACATCAGAAATAAAGTGATCAAAGATATTAATTACATGTAAAACATTCGTTCTAGGTAACATTTCACAAGCGGCAAATTTAAAGGGTGTGCATTACTCTTTCCCAGTTGGGTTTGTAACTTTCTTAAAACCTGCAAGTGTATTCAAGGACTTTCAGAATGTGCCCTCTGTTGCTCACATACCAAAAGAAATGGCTTGGCTAATTAGAAAGAAACATGTTTTCCTAAAGTTAAAAAAGAGACCTAGATTTCCTTGTTAAAATGCCAATATAATTTTAAAGATGCTAATTTTGAAACCTAAACTTCTAGATGACAGTAATAATAAGCATTGATTAAGTAGGAACCATATCAATATACAACATTCAAAACAATAAGACCATACATAATGAAACAGAGTAAAAAACAGAACCACTACAACTTACCCAGTTAGATCCACATATGCAGATCTCAATTATACAACCTTATTCAAACAAAAGGCCATGTTTTATGTACTATAGGCTTTGAATACAAATGAAATATGCACATTCTGATTAATTCTACATGATTTTTTTGTTTTTGTTTTTAAGCAGGTGATAATTATAATGTAGGTGACCGTTACAATAAAAGTGTGCATGCTTCAAATATTAAAGCGTTTCTGTTGATATTTAGTTGATGTGAATGCCACTTTCATTTATCCAGTTTACAACAACTCACTTGAAAAATAAACCTAAGTAATCGCAATGATCAGGTAAATCAGCAAGAAAAGTCTAGATTGGGCTAGATCAGCAGTCCCCAACGCAGCGGCAGCGGTGACAAGGGGGAGAGGATGGTTGTGCACAGCAGCCTAATCCCACATATGCACAAATAAAGCTTTGCCCACTCTCCCGCTGCTTGTGTGGTCCACTTCTCAACAGTACTGGGCTGTAGACTGGGGGTTGGAGACCCCTGGGCTAGATCATCCTTTTGGACAAATGGACACATCTTGAATCTGGGAGCATGTTACTGGACTCTTCTTGCCTGATATCTGTCTATGCCAGCTGTTAACAGCAAAATCCTTCAGGAGATAACCAGGTCTTCTGCAAAAAAAGGATTCGTGTCAATTTCATTCCAGGCTCCATTGCACCCCAGACTCTACTATACTCATGGGAACAGTTGTAAAACTCTAGAATGAGAATAATCCTGATCAATCCTGGCTTCTGTTTTGAAATAGAATCAAAATCAGACTCAGCAGAATCAACCAAATGTGCATTCAGGTGGTCATGAGCAAGGGATTAACCAAGTGGTCAAGCCACCTTTCCCCTTTAGGACTTGTGAAGTTGATGCTGCATCAACTGAAACCCCTGAGGTCAGAAGAGGCAAACATTTCCACTACTGGAAATACAAGAGTTTGTTATTGCCAATGAAAAGTTTGCCCTTTTTGTGAATTTATTTGTTCTGCAACTGAACTAGAAATAAATCAGTTCTGTTACCGATTGTTGCATAAGAACCCCAAATGTCAGGACCTAATTCTGGATTAATACCAATAGTGTGTTTACTTGATTGATTTTTTTATCTCACTTTTTGTTCAGTAGCTCAAGGTAGCATTCATGCTACTCCCAATTTGGCACAGAGTGTATTCTGGAAATATAGTTTAGGAGAGGGAGGATATTAATTATTTGCTAATTATTATTTCAGACTACAACTTCTTTGATAATGTTCTCTGAGAATTTTTTCCAACAACATCCAGAGAGAGACAAATTAGGGAAGGCAAATCCACAAGTACAAAGAGAATATGTTTTGTGTTTATATAATGTGTTGTCAAAAAGTCAAACAATACAAGAAACAAGTTTAACAGTACTAGGCAAGTATGTATTGTATGAATGGGAATGGGTGAATAGGAATAAACAAAGGAATGTGTACACGGATTTAGTAGATCATATTGTGAAGATATAAATTGGATCCATTATTACGATGTGGTGGACAGTGTTTAATGTCCAGGAGTCACACGTAACTTTTTTTTTTCATGAAGACTGTATTTAGCAGACAAATACTGAAAAGTGGATAAGACCAGGTCACACATAGGACAATATTTTTTTTTATTTTTATCTTTTTTAAAAATCTTTTTATATTTTTTCTCTGTTTTTAAAAATATACTAAGCTTATTGAAGGCAACCTGTGCCTTGTTGGGTCAACCTTTCAGAGATATTTCCTTACCTAAATAGAGAAACAGAGTGGAGTGACTTTTGACTTCCTGCCGGCTTCCCCATTGAGATTCTTGTTGGGAAGCGGGCAGGGAGCATCAGAAATCAGAATGATGAGTTTATATGATTGAGACTTGACTTTTTTTGAGGAATTGAACTTATTCACATTTATTTTGCAAAAGCTGATTGACTTTTACTTTTATGTAAGACATGATCATAGTGGAAACCTATTTAAGTATTACAATAGAATGCTTAAAATCATGATATGTCAGATTAATATTGCATAAAGGAAAAAGTTTCTAAGATCTTGTATTATTTTTCTAGTTGGAAATAATGGTTATTTAATTAAGGTTAAAACTAATTATTTTTAGGATAAATAAAACACTACTGTATTTTCTTGTTCCAATTTCAGCAAAACGTTACTTGTTAACAGAAGATGTTCTGCAGTTACGTAAATTTCAAGAAAAGAAGTTGGAAAATGAATATAAAATATATGGACAAAAAGGTATTTACATCAAATAATCATTTGCAAATTAAAATTAAGGAGCATAATTTTAATCTGCGATGTACAAGCTATAATTTTGTTTATCCATACAGTATTCTTGCTGCCTAATCTTGATTCCCTGTAGGTCGCCTGAACCTTGTATTTTATTCAACAATAGTTCCAAAGTTATAATAAACAATAATGGGGATAAGGGACAACCCTGCCTTGTACCTTTCTCAATTTTAAATGAATCAGTTAGATTCCCATTAATTATGATTTGAGCTGTTTCTTCCTGATATATTGCTTTAATTGATTGTAAAAAGTGCTCTATTTGCATTTTTTGCAATATTTTCAGCAGGAATTGCCAATTGACTCGATCAAAGGCTTTTTATGAATCAATTGCTGAATAGCCAACATTAACCTATCCGCTAATATTTTAGTGAAAATTTTATAATCTATATTAAGTAATGATATGGGTCTATAATTTTTTGTTCATCCATACAGTATGATAGCTAAGGTACTCCTGTCTCTTTAAGCTTCTAACCCCCCCTCCCCAAATAATATTTATATGCAGTGCAATGCTGTACAGGTTATCCTTCATTTACAACAGTTCATTTAGTGACCATTAGAAGATACAATGGCCCTGAAAAAAAGTGACATATGACCCTTTTTCACACTTACAAATGGTGCAGCATCCTCATACTCATGCGATTAAATTTCAGATGCTTTGCAACTGACTCGTATTTATGACTGTTGTAGTGTCCCTGAGTCATATGATCCCCTTTTGCGACCTTCGGGCAAGCAAAGTCAATGGGGAAGCCAGATTCACTTAACAATCATGTTACTAATTAACTGCAATGACTCACTTAACAGCGGTGGCAAGAAAAGTAATAAAATGGGACAAAACTCACTTAACAAATGTCTTCCTTGGCAACAGAAATTTTTGGCTCAATTATGGTTGTAAGTCGAGGACTACCTGTATTTTCTTGCTAAGAATAAATATATTTATTTATTACTAAATTTATATACTACCAATAGAGATTGGTAGTATATAAATTTAGTAATAAATAAATACTAAAATACTTTGGGAGTTTTAGGTATATGTCAGAGATATGCACTATTCAAAAGTGATTCATAAAATATGCTTCAAATATTGAGCAAACACCTCTCTTAACTATTAAAGCAGCTTTGTCTTCTCTAAAAGCTTGAAAACAAAGTGTAGCTATTTCAGTGAATGGAGTCATTAAAGGGACTCTTAAAGCATTTCTCTTTTTGGGTTTATATGGAAACCTGAAAAAAGAAACAAATGTTTTAATGAGTAGCAGAAAAGCATTATATTTACCCTAGGTTCAAAGCACTTTTTAAAATTATTTTTGAAGCATGATAAATCTTGTATGTATGAGATCTTGTACTATCAAATGGATAAGTCCCAACTGCAATCAAATCACAGAAGAAATATCATGGGTTCTTTTGAAATCACAACCAGACTCAATACTCACACAAAAGTTTGTTAATTGATAACCAGGAGGCACTGT